AATTCGTTACATGAATTGCATGCGTAGATTCATGTAACGACCACTACCATGGAGATTCAGAATCATTCCCTCAGCACAAAGAGCTGCCTGCTAGACTGTTACAGCTCCCTCTCCCCATCCTTGTCTCCTTGGCAACCAGTAATCCCTTCTCCATTTCTGTAATTGTGTTATTTCAAGAATGGTACATAAATGGAATCGCACAGTATAAAACCTTTGAGATTGGCTTTTTTTTCACTCAGCATAATTCCTTTGAGATCCAACTAAGCTGTTGAATTTATCATATGGAGGTACCACCGTTTATTTAACCATTCACTCACTGAACGACATCTGGGCTAATTCGTTTTTGGCTGTTATGGATAAAGTTGCTAAAGCCATTCCTTGTACAGGTTTCTGTGTGAATGTAAGTGTTCATTTTGCTGGGAAAGATGCCCAGGAATGTAATATCGAGTAGTATGGTAGTTGCATGTTTGGTTTTACGAGAAACTGTCAAAATATTTTTTTCCAGTCTGTAGCTTGTCTTTTCATTCTCTTCAAAGAGTCTCTCTCAGGGAAAAAATTTTTGGTTTTGATGAAGCCCAATTAATCACATTTTCCTTTTATGGATTGTGATTTTGTGTCATATAAGTCACTTTGTCCGGCCTGAGGTCATGAGGAATTTTAGGCTGGGGGTGGTGACTCATGCCTGGAATCTCAACACTTTGGGAGCAAAAGGATGGCTTGTACTCAGGAGTTTGCGACCAGCCTGGGCAACATGGTGAGAGAGACCTTGTTTCTATAAAAAGTACCAAAAAAAAAAAAAATGAGCCAGGTGTGGTAGTGCATGCATACCTATAGTCCCTGCTACTGAGGAGGCTGAGGTGGGAGGATTGCCTGAGCCAGGGAGGTTGAGGTTGCAGTGAGCCAAGACTATGCCACTGCACTCCAGCCTGGGTGACAGCGAGACCCTGTTTCGAAAATAAATAAAATAAAATAATAAAAAATAGTAGTGTACTCTATTGCCAAGGTTTCTGATCAGCTTGTGACATTTTCCTATGTTACTCTTATCTCTAAAGCAAAACCTATTTTTAAACCAAGAATGCTTTTTGTCCTTAAAGTACTAGGACATTTCCATAAGTTCTGAGTCTTTATTCAGTTAGTTAACATTATATCCTTGTTCCTTCAACCATGAACATCTTGTGATCAAGAGTGCCCAAGCCTCAGGGAATGTAACCCAGCAGGTTTGACTTTTTCTGGCCTTTATTTTTTTTTGAGACAGGGCCTTGCTTCGTCACCCAGACTGGAGTGCAGTGGCTCAATCACAGCTCACTGAAGCCATGATCTTCTCCTGAGCTCAAGCAATCCTCTTACCTCAGCCTCCTGAGTAGCTGGGACTACAGGTGCATCCCATCACAGCTGACTAATTTTTGTATTTTTTGTAAAGAGAGGGATTCACCATGTTGCTCAAGCCATCCACTCACCTTGGCCTCCCAAAGTGCTGGGATTACAGGCATGGGCCACTGCACCCCACCCTTTTTACCATGTTGTCTTCCAGCTTCCAGTCCATGAACATGAGATGTCTCTTTATTTATTTGGATCTCCTCTGATTTCTTTCATTTATATTTTATAATTTATTTTTTTTTTGAGATGGAGTTTCGCTTTGTCGCCCAAGCTGGAGTGCAGTGGTGCAATCTCAGCTCACTGCAACCTTTGCCTTCTGGGTTCAAGCAATTTTCCTGCCTCAGCCTCCCAAGTAGCTGGGATTACAGGCGTGAGCCACTATGCCCTGCCTATATTTTGTAATTTTTAACACACTAACCCTGTACATGTTTTGTTAGCTATATCGTTAAGTATTTCATCATCTTTGGAGCAATTGTGTATGGTATTATGTTTCAAAATTTGGTGATAGTATATAGAAATGCTAATGATTTTTTGTGTTCCAATAAAACTTTGTTTACAAAAACAGTGTTACACTGAGCTCAGGAGTTCGAGACCAGCCTGGCCAACATGGTGAAACCCGGTCTCTACTAAAAATACAAAAATTAGCTGGGCATGGTGGCGGGCATCAGTAATCCCAACTACTCTGGAGGCTGAGGCAGGAGAATTGCTTGAACCCAGTAGGCGGAGGTTGCAGTGAACCAAGATCCCACCATTGCACTCCAGCCTGGGTGACAAGAGCGAAACTTCATCTCAAAACAAAAACAAAAACAGTGGCCCATATTTGGTCATAGGCCATGGTTTGCTGTGCCCTACTCTAAGAGAACATAGAAAAAACTTGGCTGGGCATGGTGACTCACGCCTGTAATCCCAGCACTTTGGGAGGCGGAGGTGGGTGGATCACCTGAGGTCTGGAGTTTGAGACCAGCCTGGCCAACATGGCAAAACCCTGTCTCTACTAAAAATACAAAAATTAGTCAGGCGTGGTGACACATGCCTGTAATCCCAGCTACTTGGGAGGCTGAGGCAGGAGAATCGCTTGAACCCGGGAGGTGGAGGTTGCAGTGAGCCGAGATCAAGCCACTGCACTCCAGCCTGGGTGACAAGAGTGAAACTCCTTCTCAAGAAAAAAAAGATTGGCATGGTGGCTCATGCCTGTAATTCCAGCACTTCGGGAGGCTGAGGTGGGCAGATCACTTGAGGTCAGGAGTTTGAGACCAGTCTGGCCAACATGGCAAAACCCCGTCTCTACAAAAATACAAATATTAGCTGGGCGTGGTGTCGCATGCCTGTAATCCCAGCTACTCTGGAGGCTAAGGCAGGAGAATTGCTTGAACGCAGGAGGCAGAGGTTGCAGTGAGCTGAGATTATGCCACTGCACTCCAGCCTGGGTGAGCGAGATTCCGTCTCAAAAAAGAAAAAAAAAAAAAAAAAGAAAGAAAGAATAAAGAAGAAGAAAGGAAAGAAACAGTATGGTTAATTTTAGGCCAGAGTGACATAGGCTAGCACATATCTCCACCACTAAACCATATCAATTCTGAATCCCTTCCCCCGCCCCCTCCTTTTTTTTTTGAGACCGAGTTGCCCAGGCTGGAGTGCAATGGTATGGTCTTGGCTCATTGCAAACTCTGCCTCCTGGGTTCAAGTGATTCTTCTGCCTCAGCCTCCTGAGTAGCTGGGATGACAGGCATGTGCCACCATGCCCAGCTAATTTTGTATTTTTGGTAGAGACGGGGTTTTTACATGTTGGTCAGGTTGGTCTCAAACTCTTGACCTCAGGTGATCCGCCCGCCTCAGCCTCCCAAAGTGCTGGGATTACAAATGTGACCCACCTCGCCCAGCCTGAATCCCTTTTATATATCTCCTCATCAAATGAAAATAATCTCTTTGATTCTTTTTCCCCTGGATGAAACCTTTAGCTAGCTGGAAGATCACTCATGGCCAGAAATTCAAGTGTGGGGACCATAGGCTGTTGGCCCCCTAAAGGTTCCTTGAAAATCACTGACACGAGGTATGTGAATTAACAGGAGAAAAAGCATCCAGATGTATTTAACCTATGTACATGGGAGCCTCCTTAAATATCACTTTGAGATTACAGAAAGAACGGGGGTTTAGATTCTGGTCACCCAGATTATGGGAGGGGGAGAAGAGGTTTAGCTGGCAAAGGTGGCCTTGTTATGCAGATGAAGGCTCCCTCAGAGATAATTGGTAGTAAAGACTTTTTTTTTTTAAACAGAGTCTCTGTCACCCAGGCTGGAGTGCAGTGGTGCGATCTCTGCTCATTGCAACCTCTGCCTTCCGGGTTCAAGAAATTCTCCTGCCTCAGCCTCCCAAGTAGCTGGAATTACAGGTACGTGCCACCATGCTCGCCTAATTTTTGTATTTTTAGTAGAGGTGGGGTTTCTTTATGTTGGACTGGCTGTTCTCAAACTCCTGACCTCAGGTGATCCGCCCTTCTTGGCCTTCCAAAGTGCTGGGATTACAGGCGTGAGCCATCTCGCTCTGCCTGATGGTAAAGACTTTTAAAGATGCTGGACTCTCAGTCTCTCCAGGATCCAGGGAGAGGCAGAGAAAGAAAGGGGGCATGGGGCATTCATGAGGATTCTCTACAGATGCACATTCTCCCCACTCCAGGCAGCTTTGCAAGGCCACTTCTGTCAGGATGGCCAAGAGGTAGCCATTTCAAAATATGTCAAAGAAATGTATTCTGGGGTAAAATATTTTCATGTCTTTCGTAAGCAACCTGTTGGTCTTTGTTATATAAATAGCAAGTTTGTTGTCAAGCCCTTTTGTATCTTAGTATGTATCAATTCTTGGTTTTGTTTTTGAGATGGAGTTTCGCTCTTGTCCAGGCCGGAGTGCAGTGGCATGATCTCAGCTCACTGCAACCTCTGCCTCCTGGGTTCAAGTGATCCTCCTTGCCTCAGCCTCAAGAGTAGCTGGGATTACAGATGCCCGCCACTACGCCCAGGTAAATATGTATTTTTAATAGAGACGGAGTTTTACCATGTTGGCCAGACTGGTCTCCTGACCTCAGAGGATCCACCCGCCTCGGCCTCCCAAAGTGCTGTTGATTACAAGTGTGAGTCACCCCGCCCGGCCCATATGTATTGATTTTGACATTTACCTTTCTTCCTTTTTGAAAGGAAATGAAAAAGGCAGGACCCCAGTTCACTCTGCCAAAGGAAACAAGCTGAAAGCTGAGTCTTGCAACTAGCTGTCTTTTGTTCCTAAACCAGTAGCTACAGATAGAAGGTTAAATATCTCTAGGGGTAGCTACCTCTGTGCTCTCTTATCTTACGTAAAGTGATTTACTGACTGCATGATGAATACCTAATAGACTATTTCCCTACCTGCTCCTTTTCTCTTGCAACATATGGATGACCATACCCTCCCTCTTTCCCCTCCAACCCACTTTCCCCTTTAAACACTGAAGCCCTCAAAATCATTTTTGGAGAAAGTCACAGATATATCTCCCGGGCATTATCCTTAACCTTGGCAAGTAAATTTTTTTTTATCTTTTATTTTTTTTCCGAGACTGAGCCTTCCTCTGTTGCCCAGGCCAGAGTGCAGTGGCGCAATCTCGGCTCACTGCAACCTCCACCTCCCGGGTTCAAGTGATTCTCGTGACAGGAGATGGCTAGGGAGTAAGACTAGTGAAGTGACATGGTGCTGAGCCCTGTGGGTTTTCTTACGTATCCAAGACCAGGTGCTGAAGAAACCAGCTACCTAGAACACCAAGTGGTGCAGACAAAAAAGACCAGGAAAGCCTGGCGGATACAGTGGTGCGTGCTTGCAGTCCAGCTATCCAGGAGGCTGGGTCGGGAGGATCGTTTGAGCCCGGAGTTCAAATCCTACCTGGGCAACATAGTAAGACCCCCATCTCTAAACAAACAAACAAACAAAAGACCCAGAGACCCAGGGAAGCCTTTTCCCCTTAGCCAAAGGACCAGGTAAGGCGCAGCCTCATAAGAAGGTGTAAACCCAAAAGTATCCCAGACAAGTCTCTATCAGTTTTGAAGTTTACTTTGCCAAGTTTGGCTGGGCACGGTGGCTCATGCCTGTAATCTCAGCACTTTTGGAGGCCAAGGCGGGCAGATTACCTGAGGTCAGGAGCTCGAGACTAGGCTGGCCAACATGGTGAAATCCCCTCCGTACTAAAAATACAAAATTAGCCAGGTGAGGTAGTACACAAATGTAATCCCAGCAACTCTGAAGGCTGAGGCAGGAGAATCCCGTGAACCTGGGAGGCAAATGTTGCAGTGAGCTGAGATTGCGCCACTTCACTCAAGCCTGGGTGAAAGAGCGAGACTCCGTCTCAAAAAAAAAAAGGACATTTTTAAGTAATTAATAATATATTTAGACTTGTGTCTGCTATTTATTTTTATTGTAAATTGGCAAATTATGATTGTATATGTCTATGGGGTACAAAGTGATGTTACGATATAGGTCTACAACGTGGAATGATTAAATCAATCTAATTAACATATTCATCACTTCAAATACTTGTCTTTTTTTGTGTTGAGAAATTTGAAATTTACTCGGTTAGCAATTTAAAAATATACTATATGCTCTCATTAATTATAGTCATCATACTATGCAATAGCTGTCAAAAAACTTCCACCTAACTGAAACTTTGTACCCTTTGACTGACATCTCCCCATTCCCCTCACCCTCAGCCGCTGGTAACTACGATTCTGTTTTCTTTTTTTATTGAGAGGGAGTCTCAGCCGCTGGTAACTACTATTCTATTTTCTTTTTTTTTTTTTGAGAGGGAGTCTCGCTGTGTCACCCATGCAGGAGTGCAGTGGCGTGATCTTGGCTCACTGCAATCTCTGCCTCGTGGGTTCAAGTGATTCTTCTGCCTGAGCCTCCTGAGTAGCTGGGACAATAGGCATGAGACACCACACTCAGCACTCAGCTAATTTTTAAATATATTTTTAGTAGAGACAGAGTTTTGCCCTGTTGGCCAGGCTGGTCTTGAACTCCTAACCTCAGGGGATCCACCCACCTTGGCCTCCCAAAGTGCTAGGATTATAGGCGTGAGCCACCGCCCTCAGCCCTACGATTCTATTTTCTGCTTCTATGCATTTGATTGTTTTAGATTTCATACATAAGCGCGAAGATGTGGTATTTGTCTTTCTGTGTCTGGCTTATTTTACTTAGCATAATATCCTACAGGTTCATTCATGTTAGTGAAAATGACAGAATGTCCTTCCTTTTAAAGGCTGAATAATGTTCCACTGTGTGTATTTACCACATTTTCTTTATCCATTCATGTGGTGATGGACACAGGTTGATTCCCTATCTTGGCTATTGTAAATAATGATATCATGAACATAAAACTGCAAATATCATTTTAACGTATTGATTTCAAATCCTTTGGATGTATACCCAGAAGTGGGATTGCTGGATCATATGGTAGTTCCGTTTTAAATTTTTAATGAACCTCCATACAGTTTTCCATAATGGTTGCACTAGTTTACATTCTCCCCAACAGTGTGTAAGGGTTCCCTGTTCTCCATATTCTCACTAGCATTTATCTTTCATCTTTTTAAAAATTATACTTTATTTTTATTTTAGAGATGGGGGTCTGACTGTGTTTCCCAGGCTGGCCTAAAACTCTTGGGCTCAAGTGATCCTCCCATCTCAGCCTCCCTACTAGCTGATACAAAAGGCATCCACTGCTGTGCCCAGCTTCATCTTTCTGATAATAACCGTTCTGACAGGTGTGAGGTGATAGCTCATTGTGGTTTAAATTTGTGTATTTTATTATTTTTTCTGTTTGTTCCCTCTGATTCTCATTCCTTTGTTTCTCTCCCTTTGCCTTCCTTGGGGTACATGACTCTTGTTTTTAGAATTCCATTTTGAGTTATTTACATAATTTTTGAGCGCGTCACTGCTATGATTTGAATGTTTTTGTCCCTTCCAAAAGTTCTTTTTTTTTTTTTCTTTTTTTTTTTTTTTAAAGATGGGGTTTCACCATGATGGCCAGGCTGGTCTTGAACTCCTGACCTCAGGTGATCCACCCACCTTGGCCTCCCAAAGTGCTAGGATTACAGGCGTGAGCCACTGCACCCGGCCCCAAAAATTCTTATCTAAACTTGATTCCCAGTGCAGCAGTGTTGGCCGGTGGGATCTTTTGCGAGGTGTTTATATCATGAGGACTCTGCCCTTTTGACCAGATTAATGCTGTTAGAAAAGGGCTTCATGGGCCAGGCGTGGTGGCTCACAGCTGTAATTCCAGCACTTTGGGAGGCTGAGGCAAGTGGATCACATGAGGTCGGGAGTTCGAGACCAGCCTGGCCAACATGAAGAAACTCCATCTCTACTAAAAATACAAAATTAGCCAGGCATGGGGGCACATGCCTGTGATCCCAGCTACTAGGGAAGCTGAGGCAGGAGAATCACTTGAACCTGGGAGGCGGAGGTTGTGGCAAGCCGAGATCATGCCACTGCATTCCAGCCTGAGCAATAAGAGTGAAACTCCGTCTCAAAAAACAGAAAAAAAAAAAAGAAAAAAAGAAAGAAAATAAAAAAAGAAAGGAGCTTGATGGAGGGAATGCCTCCCTTTTGGCCCTTACCCCTTTTATACCATGTGAGGACACAAGTGTTACCCTGCTCCAGAGGATGCAGCATTCAAGGCACCGTCTTAGAAGCAGAGAGCAGTCCTTACCAGATGCCAAACCTGCTAGTGCCTAGATCTTGGACTTCCCAGCCTCCAGAACTGTGAGAAATGAATTCTTGCTGTTCAGGCCACCCAGTCTATGATATTTCGTCATGGCAGCCTGAACTGATTAACACAGAATTGTTTTAGTTTTCCATGGCCTGAGATTGTCTTTATTTCCCTTGTATTCCTGAAAAATACTTTTGCCCAATGTAGGACTCTCAGTTGACAGTTATTTCAGTACTTGAAAAACGTCATGCCACTTCTTTTTAGTTTTCTTAGTTTCAGATGACAACACCACTGTCACTCTAATCAGTGTCCCGTACACCTCATGTGTTGTTTCTCTCTAGCTGCTTTCAAGGGTTTTCCTTTGTTTTTAGTGTTTAGAGGTTTAATGAGGACCTATGGGCATGGGTTTTGTTTGATTTATTCTACTGGGGTTTGCTCAGCTTTTTAAAATCTGTAGCTTCATGCCCTTTGCCAAATTTGGGAAACTTGGGCCGGGAGCGGTGTCTCATACCTGTAATCCCAGCACTTGGGGAGGCCAAGACAAGTGGATGACCTGAGGTCCAGAGTTTGAGACCAGCCTGGTCAACATGGTGAAACCACGTCTCTACTGAAAAAAAAAAAAAATTAGCTGGGCATGGTGGAACACGCCTGTGGTCTCAGCTACTCAGAAGGCTGAGGCAGAAGAATCGCTTGAGCCCAGGAGGCAGAGGTTGCAGTGAGCTAAGATCGCACCACTGCACTCCAGCCTGCGCGACAGAGGGAGACTCTGTCTCAGAAAAAAATTAAAAAATGTATATATATATATATAGCTTTCAGCTACTATTTTTTCAAATATTTTTTCATCTCTACTCTATTTCTTGTCTACTTGTATAAGTCCAGTCCAGTGAATATAAATCTTAGATCTTTGTTACTGCTCTGTAGGTCTCTGAAACTCTGTCCATCTTTTTTTCAGTTTATTTTCTCTCTGTTGTTCAGACTGGACAATTTCTACTGTTCTGTCTGCAAGATCACTTCTCTGTCATAGTCATCCTGCATATTGAACCTTTTGCATCAGTTTTAACTTTCATTTATAATTTTTAGTTCTGTCATTTCTATTTTTTTTTCTATATCATCTATATGATGAGAATTTTTTTTTTTGAAACAGGGTCTCACTCTGTTGCCCAGGCTGGAGTGCAGTGGTGCAGTCACAGCTCACTGCAGCTTCAACTTCCTGGGCTCAATCGATCCTCCTAGCTCAGCCTCCCAAGTATCTGGGACCACCAGTGCACACCACCATACCCTGTTACTTTTTGTAGACATGGGGCTTCACCATGTTGGCCACGCTGGTCTCGAACTCCTAGACTCAAATGATCCAACTGCCTTGGCCTCCCAAAGCACTGGGATTACAGGTGTGAGCCACCACACCTGGCACAAGAATTTCTGTTTCTTCTTTTGCTTCCAGTTTATTTGTAATTCCTTAGTGAATCATTTTTATGGTGACTACACTAAAATCCTCGTCAGATAGTTCCAGCATCTGATTCATCTTGCTGTTGGCTTCTGTTTTTTTATTTTGTTGTTGTTGTTTTTTTTTAGTTATTTATTTTTATTTTTATTTTTTTTTTAGAGTGAGTCTCGTTCTGTCACCCAGGCTAGAGTGCAGTGGCACAATCTCGGCTCACTGCAACCTCCACCTCCTGGGTTCAAGCAATTCTCCTGCCTCAGCCTCCCAAGTAGATGGGATTACAGGTGCCCACCACCATGCCCAGCTCATTTTTGTATTTTTGGTAGAGACTGGGTTTCACCATGTTGGCCAGGCTGGTCTCGAACTCCTGATGTCAAGTGATCTATCGGCCTCAGCCTCCCAAGGTGCTGGGATTACAGGCGTGAGCCACTGCACCCAGCCTGTTTTTTGGTTTTTTTTGGACACAGAGTCTTACCCTGTCACCCAGGCTGGAGTGCAGTGGCACAATCATGGCTCATTGCAGCCTCAACTTACCTGGGCTCAGGTGATCTTCCCAGCTCAGCCTCCCGAGAAGCTGGGACTACAGGCATGTGCCACCACGCCTAGCTAATTTTTCTTTTTTTTTCGTAGAGATGAGGTTTCACCATGTTGTCCAGGCTGGTCTTGAACTCCTGGGCTGAAGTGATCTGTCCACCTCGGCCTCCCAAAGTGCTGGGATTATAGGTATGAGCCACTATTGACTTCTGCTGATGGTTTTCTTTTATTTACATTGTGACTTTTCTGGGTTTTGGTACGACATCTGATTTTTTATTGTATCCTGGACATTCTGTCTATATGCTAGGACGTTCAGGATCCTATTTAAATCTTCTATTTTAGTAGGCAGTCCTTCTGTTTAGGTTTAGCATGCAGGTCTTGACCTTTTGGGGCTGTGGTTCCAATGACAATTTTAAAAAGTTTCTTGCTGGATGTGGTGACTCACGCCTGTAATCCCAGCACTTTGGGAGACCAAGGTGGGCGGATCACAAGGTCAGGAGTTCGAGACCAGCCTGACCAACATGGTGAAACCCTGTCTCTACTAAAAATACAAAAATGAGCTAGGCATGGTGGTGGGCACCTGTAATCCCATCTACTCAGGAGAATCACTTGAACCCAGGAGGCGGATGTTGCAGTGAGTTGTGATCACACCACTGCACTCCAGTCTGGATGACAGAGCGAGACTCCATCTCAAAAAAACAAAAACAAGAACAAAAAAAACCAAAAAAATTTCTTAGAGACTAAATCTTGCTCTGTTGCCCAGGCTGGAGTGCAGTGGTATGATCATAGCTCACTGCAGCATTGACTTCCTGTGTTCAAGGGACCCTCCTGCTTCAGCCTCCTGAGTAGCTGGTACTACAGGCACGTCCCACCATGCCTGGTTAATATTTTAATTTTTAGTAGAGATGAGGTCTTGCTGTGTTGCCTGCGCTAGTCTGAAACTCCTGGGCTCAAGTGATCCTCCCACCTCACACTCCCAAAGTGAGCCACCACACCTAGCCTCTAATGACAATGTAGTTTTCAGGGACCTTGCAGTCTCCTTCTTGTCTGTTTCAGTTGCCTGCTTCCATTAGGGCATTATCTCAGTCTCTATTGCTGCCAGAGGTAGATGTTGCTTCCCTGGTTCCAACTGGTGCTGCTGGGTAGGGGATGAGAGATGTGGAGTTGGGAGGTGGGAGGACCTTTTTCAGCTTCAGGTGTCGGTAGGCCTTCTGCTCTATTTGCCTTGGTGCTGCCCTTAGGAGTGGAAGATCTTCTCCCTTTCTCCTGGGTTTGCATGATGCAAAGTTTCGTTTTGTTTTGTTTTCAGACAGGGTCTCACTCTATTACCCAAGCTGAGTGCAGGGCACAATCACAGCTCACTGCAGCCTCAACCTCCTGGGCTCAAGCGATCCTCCCACCTCAGCCTCCAAGTAGCTGGGACTACAGGCACACACCACTATGCCTGGCTAAATTTTTATTTTTTGTAGAGATGGGGAATCACTATTTTGCCCAGGGTGCAAAGTTTTAAACAGTTTTTGTGTGTGTGTGGTTGCACGGCTGCAAATGGCCCAGGGCATCTCATCAGACTTTCACTTAGCTGATCTGTCTGTGAATCAGATCCTGTTAGCCTCAGGAATCTCCATGTATCAAGGCAAGTGCCATGTGCAAAATCCCAGGGGCCAGCATGGCATTGTGGCAAATTCTTTTTGCCACAGGCTCCAGTCTGCATAATTGTCAGTCTCTGGCAATCAAAAGGCGCATCAGACCTGACTGGCTAAAGTGTGATGGCACTCTGTATAGGCTGTTGGATTTTTTTATTCAGAGCACTGCCATCTCTATTAGGTTTTTTTGTTTAATACAATGATCGTCTCCCCACCCCTCCCCTATCTTGTGTTATTTTACTGATACCACATGGCTGGGTGGAGGAAGCCAGGTGGACTCCTGCTTGTGTCCTATCCCACAGCTGCTGTTTTATTTTTGGCATTTCTCCACTGAGAACATCGAATGTAATCAAGAGAAGTCCGAGCATGATGGCTCACACCTATAATCCCAACACTTTGGGAAGCAGGGGTGGGAGAATTGCTTGAATCCAAGAGTTTGACACCAGCCTAGGCAACATAGCAAGACTACGTTTGTACAACAAATACAAAAATTAACTGGGCGTGATGGCAGGTGCCTGTAGTCCCAGCTGCTCAGGAGGCTGAGAAAGGAGAATTGCTTGAACCCAGGAGTTTGAGGCTGCAGTGAGCTGAGGTCATGCCACTGCACTCCAGCTTGGGCAACAGAGTGAGACTCTGTCTCAAAATAAATAAATAAATAAAGAGAGTCAAGTGCATGGTTTGACCTTTGACTTGGGGTTTTATACTTTGGCATGCTTCTGGGGTCTTGTGTCCCTTCTCCCTCGATTATTCCCTTGGGGTGGGCTGTCCCTATGCACAGTGGTCTGCCAGCACCTGGGAGGGGTCACATGCACACTGTGTTTACTGGAGTTGTATGCATGCTCACTTGAGGCATTTTTCCCTTACCAGCCAGATGGTCAGATACCAGCTACACTCCACCTCTTAGTGCGCATGCTTGAGCTGCTGTTATTGGGAGCCCACCTTTCTCTGGTGCCAACCACAACCAATGATCATTTTAGAAAAACAGTTTAACGACCGCCTGACTGTCACTTGATGGTCACCTGACATTCCTGGGGGTGGGGGGTGGGGGCTCTCCTGCCCTGCTTGTGTCTGCCCGACCACCTACTGTAACAGTATCAACCGTGGTGAGGCACCACTGAGAACCTGAGAGGGTGTCACAGGTTCGATGTAGTCAATCTATTAGGAGCAGGTGGGGGCCAATGCCCAGTGTAATGGGAACTCCGGAACCACAAGACTAATGGACTGATGGTCTGGCATGCAGCGGTAGTTTTCGAATCAGAAACAGAGTTCTCTACTTTGTAACAAACAGCAGTTTTTCCCCCTCTTGGCTTCCATAGAGCTGAGTATTTTGAATCCATCCCTGCAGATTCAGTATAAGAAACTTTACTTGGCAAACAGGACTCTGAATTTTGTTGAGGCTGGCCAGCTACCCCTGCTGGTGGAGGCAAGACCACACCTCAGTTGGGGCTGTTGAGACTAAGGCTTTTTTTTTTTTTTTTTTGAGGGGGAGTTGTGCTGTGTCGCCCAGGCTGGAGTGCAGGGGCGCGATCTCTGTTTACTGCAACCTCCGCCTCCTGGGTTCCAGTGATTCTCCTGCCTCAGCCTCCCAAGTAGCTGTGATCAGAGGTACCCACGATCAAGCCCAGCTAATTATTTTTGTATTTTTAGTAGAAACGGGGTTTTGCCATGTTGGCCAGGCTGGTCTCAAACTCCTGACCTCAAGTGATCCACCCGTCTCAGCCTCCCAAAGTGCTGGGATTACAGGCGTGAGCCACCTCAGCCGGTCAAGACTAACGCTTTTGAATCGCCACCCAACAGAATATCAGTTATGTAGTGAAAGCTCCGGACATCAGAGGGTAGAGGCACTTGCACTGAGAACTCGCCCACTGGTGACAAATGGTAGTAGAATTTTCCCTATGAGTGCTTTTTACATGTGGCAGTGCCCTGAAAAGAGGGCATGTGTGATCAGACCTGGGTGGGTGGTGGTGGGGGGGTGTCTCCTCACTGCCCTTAACTTGGCTTGGGGAGCTCCTCTGTCTTCTCTCCAAAAGGACAGTGTGACCTTGCTTCGTTCATGTTGGCCAATTTGTCAAGCAGCCGAGCAGTTGTTAAGAACCGCACAGTTAAGTTGGCTTGTCACATTTCTATAGATTAGACTGGTAAAGAGACAACAAACTCATTTTTATTTATTATTTTTTTCGGACACTGTCTGGTTCTGTCATCCAAGCATGAGTTCAGTAGTACAATCATGGCTCACTGCAGGCGCACGGCTCACTCAACCTCCCAGGCTCAAGCGATCCTCCCTCCTCAGCCTCCCGAGTAGCTGGGACTACAGGCATGTGCCACCATGTCTGACAATTCTATTTTTATTTTTTGCAGAGACGGGGTCTTGCTATGCTGCTTCAGCTGGTCTTGAATTCCTGGGCTGCTGGGAAAAAGTCTTGTGTGTGTGATGGATTGTATGTTGTTTACTGAGAAATGATGGCAAGGAACACCGAGCCGTCCCCATGCAGAAAACTGCTGGAATAGTAAGCAATATGTACCAGTCATGCACTAGTGAGACCAGTTCCCAAAACACAGGATACATGACCTTGTCACCATTGCTGACTCACGAAAAGTGCTTTCTAGTTATTTCTATTTTAGTAGTGAACAGTCACTATCTGCCTGTTTAGTCTACCTTTATTATATGAAAAAACACTGAACACCTGCCATTAAAAATAATCACTTGTTCACAAATAATAAATACATGCATCAGAGTCTGCTCTGGGCTTTCAGCTGGGAAATGCTGTCAGTCCCCTGATGCCCCTCTCTGATTTCCACTTTTGCGCTCTATTTTTGTGTCTGTTTCTTAACTCCTTCAGCGCCGCCTGGGTTGGGGTCTCCATGACTGAGCTGGTCTGGGTACTGGACTTAAGCATTCCTCCTGCCTCAGCCTCCCAAAGTGTTAAGGATTACAAGTGTGAGCCACTGGGCCCAGCCACATAAGAATTTATTATGTACACACAGTGAAAGCAAGGTCAGTATTGTGTCATTCCAGAGGATGACACTGAACCAAAAGACACAAAACATACATGGTGGCTCGCTTTGTTATGGATGACAGTCCTCTAAACTACAGCCAATCCATTTTATAAAATTACAATGAAGTCAGCTGGGTGCAGTGGCTCACACCTGTAGTCCCAGCACTTTGGGAGGCCGAGGTGGGTGGATTACTTGAGGCCAGGAGTTCGAGACCAGCCTGGCCAACATGGTGAAACCCCGTCTCTACTAAAAATGCAAAAAATTAGCTGAGCATGGTGGTTCGATCCTGTAGTCCCAGCTGCTTGGGAGACACGAGAATTGCTTGAACCCAGGAGGTGGAGGTTACAGTGAGCTGAGATTGTGCCACTGCACTCCAGTTTGGGCGACAGAGCAAGACTCTGTCTTTAAAAAAAAAAGAGAGAGAGAGAGAGAATTTTTCTCATCTGGGAGGCAGATAAGAAACAGCTTTGTGATAGCTCTTCACAAGACTGCTGTGTTCCAGGAGAGAATGCCAGGGCATGCCGCCAGGATTCAGGTGACTGCTCTCAAGCTTTGACTCTTTAGCCTATGTGGACAAATGCTAGGTTGCCAGGGTACCTGGCTACAGCTCTCCATGTACAATTTTTTTTTTTTTTTTTTTTGAGAGGGAGTCTTGCTCTGTTGCCCAGGCTGGAGTGCAATGGTGTGACCTCGGCTCACTGCAATCTCCGCCTCCAGGTTCAAGCAGTTCTCCTGCCTCAGCCTCCTGAGTAGTTGGGATTACAGGCACGCACCACCACACCCGGCTAATTTTTGTATTTTTAGTAGAGACAGGGTTTCACCATGTTGGCCAGGCTGGTCTTGTACTCCTAAGCTCAGGTGATCCACCTGCCTTGGCCTCCTGAAGTGCTGGGATTACAGGTGTGAGCCACCGCTCCTGGCCTTTATCAGTATTATCTAGAGAATGTTAGTCTAGACATCAAGTGTTAGTGAATAGAGAATTTTAAGTGGTACAATTAGCTGTAAGATTGTCTTATTGAGACCTGCTTAATGTGGTTCAAATAAAAAATATCTTGTTAAAAATATTAGAAGAGGCCAGGCACAGTGGCTCACGCCTGTAATCCTAGCATTTTGGGAGGCTGAGGCGGGCGGATCACCTGAGGTCAGGAGTTCAAGACCAGCCTGACCAATATGGTGAAACCCCGTCCTAAAATATATATATATATTAGAAGAGAAAAATAAATGTTTTATTATTCATGTGCCATTATTATAACTGTGGAATTCCCCTAATAAAAATGTAGGAGCAAATAGGTAAAGTAACAATTAGATGAACAAATTTTTTTTATTTTTTATTTTTATTTTATTTTATTTTTTTTAAAAAGACGAGGTTTCACCATGTTGGTCAGGCTGGTCTTGAACTCCCGACCTCAGGTGATCTGCCCATCGTGGCCTCCAAAGTGCTTGGATTACAGGTGTGAGCCACCACGCCTGGCCAACGGACAAATCTTAAATTCAGCTGATTAAAAGAAAAAAAAAAGTGAGACCAGGTGCAGTGGTCATGCCTGCAGCTTCAAGCACTTTGGGAGGCTGAGGCGGGAGGATCGTTTGAGTCCAGAAGTTCAAGGCTGCAGTGAGCTATGATCGTGCCACTGCACTCCAGCCTGGGGGACAGAGAGAGACCCTGTCTGGAAAAAAAAAAAAAATGGAAAAGAAAAGTAAACTAAAGGTCCTTTGCATTCTGACATTTATCCTTTGTACAGTTGCTGTGTATTCATAGTGACTTTTTGCAAACCCTCAAGGGCTGTAAATAAAACAACTTTCCATTGCCAGAGAATTATATTTAAATCAACATTACTATCCAAACATTTAACTTTCTTTTAACACATTGTTTCTTGTTTATTTCTTCTCTATACTTATATGCATGATAAATTCAGACACTTGTCCTCAGGAGTCTGGATTAAAAATATACTTTGTATCGCTGGTTATACTGTCATAAAATGAAATTTTCTTACAAGGATACATTAAAAAGCACAGGGAGTGCTGCATGCGGTGGCTCACGCCTGTAATCCCAGCACTCTGAGAGGCCGAGTTGGGCAGATCACTTGAGGCCAGGAGTTTGAGAGTAGCCAGGCCAACACGGCGAAACCATGTCTCTACTAAAAAATACACACACACACACACACACACACACACACACACACACACACAC